TTTGTATTTTAATGGTATTGATTAAAAATAACCCCATAAATAAAGACATACAGCGGAAATAAGGCATTAAAAAATTGTTTACAGTAATCAAAACTCCCAGAGAGCTGCGAGCTAAAGCAGAATGTAAAACACAATCTGAATTTCAAAACAATACTCTTCCAACACATACAAACCATGTAATTCTCAATACAGATAGTCATTACATCTACTTAACCTGTTATTAATTATGATGATACATGTAAAATGAAGAGTAAATTATGACTTTCAGTTCCTTAGCGAATGATACACGCAGTCAAACTGGCACTGAGATGCGCACGCGCCGGGAATCTGGCAGCGATCGTCGCATACGGTTTATTTCGGCCACTCGCACAACACAGATAATTAAATTTTTCAGATACCAGACGGCGTTACGTAATTAATATTGACATATTGCGGGCTGTTCCCACACATATGTCACGAAATATTCCCTGGAAATGTTTAGAACTGGCCGAAAAGAATATAAATTCGACGCTGGTTGTCTTGCTTTCTCTCTTTTTTGACAGTGGTAGAGCCCGCTTTAACATCTTCGCAAGAATGGACCGGCTCGCCCGGTGAAATACCACGACTACACAGAAGACAGGCGTGAAGTGGGAGCAATTCCGCGTTTCGTCTGATGAGTATGGTGCCAGAGGCCATACTTTAGTCCCTTTTCCTTCCCACCCTTTTTCTTATAGGAAGAATCTTACATTTCTGGAGGAGATGCATAGAAAGGAAGGTATCCTCTTCATGCGCGCTTCCTCCTCCGTCCGCTATAGCGGATGTTTATGGGCAGCGGTTACATCGTCTTTTGGCGGATTCGGAGGCCGCTTGCTCTTTTGCCACCTTATGATATAAAAAGAATGTAATTGTATGACTAGTTTTATTATCAATGTTTATAATTCTACCGAAAGAATGTCATAGTATCGTATTTGTTTTTTTAATGCTATTTACTGTAATCGCATTACCCTACCATACTTGATACATAGTATCAAAGATAGTACTTGGTTATATTTCTACATTGCATGTTTCAACTCTTTCTATTTATGTCACGTCGTATCGTTGTTTTCACTCAACGGATTTAACGTTAATTTATTGAGAAAGATCGAAGAAATTGTCCGTGTTCTTAAATTTGCCATCTTAACTCTAAATATAGAGGACCTCGTTAGCTTCTTTGCAGTTCTGCAAATAACGTGTCTTGTTTGTCGCTTTCACGTTGTACATTTTCATTCTAATTTATTTTATGTTTATTTCGATTGGTGTTGTCCTATTTTACAACTGTTTGAAGAAAATAAAATTGTAATAGAAAACAATTGGAGCAATCTAAACTAAACTAAGTGGTACATATTTATAGTAATCGACTCTGTACATCAAACACAGGAAGTAGATAAGAGATTAACGTAATTACAATAAAGGACAGACTATTAGCAGTGTCAGAGTAGCTACAATGCGATGTATTAATAAATCCAACATTGACAAAGACCGCCAAAACACCTGGCTAGTGGCCAGACGTGAAAAAAATTAACCTACGCATACGTTGCCACGTCCCGGAACAATCCCGTGACGTCCCGGATGAACAGTCGTCTGCGCTCTTTAAATACCATCCCGCTGAAATAACAAAGAAACATTATGGGTTTTTTTTATTTCGTAATTCGATAACACGTGCCTCAAAACCTCGCTAATGTAGTTGACCTTGTTTGTTCGCGAATTCACAGACTATAGATATTTAAATCTCGCCCAAGGTAATAAAACTTATCTATCTTTACAGCATTAGGATATTTTTTTGTCTTATTGTCTTATTGCTCAATTGATTTTGAATTAACAGCCAGTTTTAATTCATTGTCATTGAAGTATTGACCTAAATAAACCCACGGTAAGAAAACCTTTTTTTTATTTATAAGGTGGCAAAAGAGAAAGCGGTCACCTAAAACCACTATAGTGGCGATTTGCAGATGCGTGGCCTACCCTTAATCGACGGAGGAAGAGACACACATAAAAACGATATTTCCGCTTTCTATGCGTATCCTCTACCGTCTAAATTGCTTTTCCTTCCCATCCTTTCGGCTTAAGAACAGGATGGGAAGGGAAAGGGGTTAAAATAAAGTCTCCGGCATGCACAATCATCAGACGAAACGCGGAATTGCTTTCACTTCACGCCTGTCTTCTGTGTGGTCGTGGTATTACACAGGGGAGACTGGCGCTACAGTGCAAAGATATTAAAGCGGACTCTGGTATTTTCCTAAATAAACCCACCGTCGGAATGAAGTTAAATGTTTTAATGTAAACGAAATACGTATATGAATTCAACCATTGCCGCGAAACATCACGTGAATATGCGTTCAAGTCAAACAAATCCAGTCATCAAATACGAATCATATTGGTTATTTGTACCAACGTATAGAAACATTACTGTCTTTTTGTTTGTAGCAAGCAGGTACCAAGCTACAGAAATTACTGGCTTAGTAAGACTTACCATCTTATGTGTCTATAATATTCGTTAGCGCTTAACATAGTCTATTTTAGTATATCTTATCTGTAATACATCTTTAATATAAAATTTCTACATAAACTTTTCAATAAGCAATCATCTTTTATATTCCAGTCAAAGCGCTTTCTTGATCAATCACAAGTTAACGACTTTTGCTGTTTCTATGTACTCTATTTATTTTATACAATATCAGTACATATGTTTACATTTTCTAATTATATTACTCTACAATCTTATATAATGAGTGAAGCGTCATAATTCCATCTGGGTCGTAAGACCGTTGTCTACGTCATCACACTGCACGCATCTCGCATCAAAACATATCCATGTATTTATAGTCAGTCTGTAAATCATCTCTTTAAATTATCTCAGTGATTCCGCTTATAAATGATGGTCATCAAAAATTTGAATTGTAATTGGTAGGATTTTCGACGGGACGACGATGGCATATATTGGTCCTATGTTGCCGTAACACTGAGCTGTAGCTGTAGGAGTTCTGTCTCTCCTGGGAAGTTTAAATATCGAGAGTTCTGGTGTGTTACTTGGAGATCCCGAAACCCTCTTTTATTAAACTTGAAGATGGCCCCCGAGGTGGTTTTAGTGTGTCATATACTCCTGTTTTCCCCCAGAAGGCAAAGAGAGTATCTGAAATATTTCTCCCTGACACTAAAAAAGGGGTTTTTCAACAATTTGTATATTAACCACCACATTTTTTGGTCAGCATAATGTGGACAAGCCTTATTCAAATTTAAAATTATAGATTATTAAAATAAACTATCCTAACCTCTTCTATTCTTCGACTTGTAATTACCACTCCATACGTAATTAACGAATACGGAACATCGTAAAGGAAACTGTTCGCATGTTTTACGATCGACGTGTTCAGTGTCATGCATCTTATGTAATTGTATCGATCACAGCATTACTGATTTAAATCTAGCACGGTAATGATTGAGATGTAAAATGAAACTGTAGTATGAGCTATAGATGTTTTCAGTGAGTCCTTTTTATTTCTTTTAGGACTTATTTGCGTATCGACAACATGTAATTTAATGCCAGCAAATATACCGCTGCTAAAAGAAGAATTAAAAGAAAAGCTATTGGCATGAGTGTCTGGGCAGCAATGAATCTCTGGGAAAGAATACGAATCGAAAGATACATAACGATCTAAAATACCTAGGTCTGATCCTAATGTAAATTTTATGAAATTTCACTTGTGATATCAGAGTTGCCTAACCATATATGGCATGTCTATGTTTATTTGATCTTTGATGTCCGTATCCTGTTTCCTGATGAAATCATACTCAAAATGTAGATAGTTCTAACCCGATGTTATAGGGTTGCCTTATCAAAACCTATCCAGGCACAGGCTTTACGATTCAAAATGGTTATTGTGTTTTCATTTGCTTTTGAGATGTATTTATTTATTAAGTTCTAGTTATGTTAAAATGATGCCTGGGTCGACATTGCAGGGACGAAGTGAATCCAATGAAATGCATGTTCACATACATTGCGTCACATCACATCTCGTTACATAGTCTGCTAACTGCATTTACATCAAAATCATCCATTAATATAATTAAGGAGAACCTATAGTTTGTATACTCTCCCACATATCAAATATTATTAGCGGAAAGTCTAAAGATCAGACTCCAACTGGCTGTTATACTTAGGGTCCTTCAAGATTACTGTATTGTGTTCGTATCGGTTTTAAACGCGTAAACTGTTTGAAAATAACAATGATTTTTTTCTTTTCAAATACTTCACGTTTATTGTCTAACTTTGGAAGAGTAGTTATCTAGAGAAAATGCTTTATGCGTTTACATTAGTTACAAATTAAGTAATATCATAGAATATTTGAAAAAAACGTGTAAACGACGCTACAATCCCGTTTGTTTAATCACTATTGTCTGTGTTATAGTCACTGCGAGTATATTTGCAAAAGTTAAATGTTACCTAACTTTTGGGCACGGCATTGTCTGACACGCGAACTTAACACGCTCCTAGAGCCTAAGTTTTGCTTATTATTAAATAGTAATCATCTCTTACAGATAGAACACCTTTATTCTTTGTTTGAAAATAAGGTTTAAATTTAAAAACAAATGTTATTTTTTAAGACATGTGTATTTCTGCCACTCACCGTTTGCGGAACTACAACTTTGCAGTCGTGTTTTTTTTAGACAGACTATTTTTTAGAAGGCCTGATATTGTCTCTATAATCTCATGACAACTGGTAGGCTTTTTTAATTGTTGGAGAGGCAACAGCTACAAAGCATTTTGTCATATAGTGGCAACCAATACTACGGCAGCAAACTAAGATTTTTTTATATAAAAGGCAAAGTCATGTGTGATTGTTCTGCCACACGGTCGCGTGTGGAGCGCTACGTAGCGGGCTACGTTCGAAGCGTATCGCGAATTAGTTCCCGCGCCGCATCACAGGGTGAGATCGCGCGGAAGCGAAGGTTACGCCCGTGACCGCGCCCGCCGCCGCCGTCGCTAGTGTGCCGGGCGCGCACCGCGCAGTATCGCGCCGCACTCGCCGCTTCTCGGACCTGGGACCTCGGCGCTCGCGACCCACTAGTGATGTGCCTTTAGCCGATCATGTGCAGGCGACGATTGTGTTTTGTGAGAGTGTGCGCGCGAGGCATCAGGCGGCGCCGGCCCGCGCACCCTTAGCCTCCAGAACATGTGGACCCTCTTGGCACTGCTTTGCGCGCTCCTCGCTTTTGGTGGCGGGGCCACTTTCGCGCCCAACAAGGAGCTACTAGAGTGTGCAAGGTTCGTAGTACCCGCCAAGCGTTGCCAATAATGATACAAAAAGTATTTGTAATATTACAAATGTAATCATTAGAGGTGAGACCTCGAATGAGCTACAGAAATAATTTCAGTAGAGCACGCCAGACATGGCTGTTTGCCCGTCTTGTTCAGTGGAAAATAATTATTATAATTCTTGGTGTACAATCACTATAATTTAATACTTATATGACTTTTTATCATTACAAAAAAGATATTGAGCATTCAAACAAGTAAATTTTTTTTTCTTTACTAATACTTTACTCAAACTTTAAGTTATCTCAATTGATAATCGAATATCAAAATGAGATCTGATATCCAATCACAAACGATGTTAGCTTGCAAACTTGACACCAATATCAATGCGAATATTTTAAATTAAACGGCTTTAAAAATCTGGCAACAGCTTCTTCACGGCCGAATTACAGCTACAGAGATCTTGCAGTTCTAAAATCCACTTTGTCTCCTTGGCAAGGCCAGTTGTTGACATAAACATGTCTCCCTCTACTCGGCACAACGTAGTGGCGATCAAGTGAGCTTGCCCAGGTGATATCTGGCATATTTTTGATCAAACCAGACGATATTGGCATCTGTAATTGTACATACGTAGACGATTGTTCATTATTTTTTGCTACTTGTGAATCTTTCATAACATTGATTATGAACATCTGTAATTAAATGTATAGGGGTTGGTAAACAAAATAATACAGATTAAAAATCATATAAGTATGGTAAATTATTTAGAACAGGTACCTAGGAAATGCCACCGCCACTTAGTGGCTATTTGCATGTACTAACTTCCAGTATTCTTCAAGAACGAAATTTATCAAACTTGTTTACAATTCTTGTTGTCAAAGTTCCAGTAGTTGACTATAACAATTGAATATGCTGGCGAATTTATTTACATTATTAAATGTATTAGTATCTAAATGTACACACCAATATTTCGTGTTATAAGTGTTTTAGCGTGTCGCTTAAGATACTGTATTGTATGCTATAGATAAATTTTATCTTCTATAAACATTTGACTGTAGATTTTGTTATGAATTAACAGTATTATAAAAATTAAACGTTGCAGCTTACTTACAAGACGTGTTTGATCAGATATAGTCTTCTTGAGTTGACGGAACTATACATGTAGAATGTTGAAATGACTGTTTTTTTAAAGATAAAGAGAAGATTTTTTGTACCGATGTTTGTTATATATTCAGTACATTGACTAGGTAGTAAAAACCCTTGAGGTACCATCACTATTCCCGTTGAATTCGTGTCAGAGATTATGTGGTACAAACACGGGCTTGTGGACCGACAGAATTTTAAACCTTATTTTAGTTTTTTGCTATAATTAACGTAAAATTCAGGATTTTTTTCATTTTACGCACAGACACTCCAATTTCACTGATTAATGTTTTGATGAGAATACGTAGAAGTAACAAAGAACCAATTACTTGAACGCGGAAAGTTACGTGTAAAAATGTATAGGTAACTACTAATATTTCCTTAGCAACTTTCTGTTAATTTAAGATCTGTCGGGGATTTTCTTAAAACCTTTATTTTCCTTATTTTAATACATTGAAATTTTCCTTATATGTTAGTATTGCATTATAATATTAGCTCATTTTACCATAAGAGCTTCTTCTCAAGTAAATAAAATTTTGATATCTCAGGTCTTCATACTCTGTGTGTGTAGAAACACCACTGTTTTAATATAATCAAAATCATTCATTGTGGCTTTAATTTTTTTTTTTTAAAGTATAATTTCATAATAAAATTCCTGTGAAAGACAAAGGTTGATGTTACGTCTCTCTTCAACACATTCGACATAAAGAGTAACATGACTGAATAACAAGAGATATAACTCTTTTCGTCAGATGGGTTGGTTTGTGCCTAACAATTCGTATGCTAATACTTGTCCTTGACTAGATAAAAGCCTCCCTCATGAAAGGTCTAATAAGTAAAAAGTATAAGAGATCATAGACTAATTGTCACTTTTATTTTGCATTTTGTACTTATTTTCTTCAATAAAGGTGTATGCTTGACAGACATTTCCGTTGTCACGAGTCTCGCGTATGACGGCGCAAACTGTTTCGTTAAAGTAAACCACAATATGCAATGCAATAATGTGTAATGTAAGAACTGTGGTTAGTGTTCATCGCACAATGTAACTAATAATAAAAATTTCTTGAGTTATAGAAAATTATTTGAATTATATTATTGTTAGATTTATACAATCTTTTAGAAATAATGTGCTAACATCTGTAAAGAAAGCCAATCATTCAGTATATTTATTCTTCTGTCTCTTAAGAGCGTGTGTACTCAACCACTACAAACTAAACTATCGCACAATTGTTTAATTTCGCTTTGATTGAGATTTTTAAGTGTGCAACAAAACAGTTGAATTGGAAAACAATCGACAATCGCACAACAGTTCTGCAATAGCTTAGTCAACGGTGTGGCCCGGTCTTAGGTTCTAAAAATCCACACTCAACAAACATTAATGGTAATGAATCGCATTGACCTGATGACAACAATAGCTATTCAGTGGCGTTGCGCGAATGAAAGCAGTTTATCACAGCTATCTGCGTCACTAATAACCCAAATATAACGCGACCGGCCGCCGCGGTTACTGTCACAACAGAAATAAACCCTCGCCCCGAATACCACTCTCGTTACAGACTGTACCACGTCTGCGGGCATTATTTGCGATTGCGACCATGCGGCGTCTGCGAGCTCAAGGCCGTTGCACGTTCTAAACATCTCGGAGCCTCTATTACTGCTGTAGTAAACACATCGTAACACATCATTGTATCAAACTTTTTATTGTAACAATCTATAATGTCTTAACTTCAATTACAATGCTGAAAGTCGTTTAATGATTATGATAAGGTGGCAAATGAACAAGCGGTCACCTGAATCCGCCAAAATGGCGAAGCCACTACTGCCCATAACCATTCACAATACCGGATGCGTGGCCTATCCTTAGTCGACGAAGTAGGAAACGCATGTAAACCGGATATTCTCCCTTCTTATGCGTCTCCTCCAACGACAAATCCATATTCCCTACCCATTTTTCTTATAAGGACTAAAGTTGGGCCTCCGACACTACACACATCAGACGAAACGCGGAATTACTCCCACTTCACGCCTGTCTTCTGTGTGGTCGTGGTATTTCACCATGAGAGCCGACCCATTCGTTAAAGCGGGCTCTACTACTGTTAAAATGTTAATAAAAAGTCTGTAGTTCATTTTCATGTCTACATTTGTTCACTCTGTATATAGGTGGTCTTATTATCATCATTATAATTATGGGTTTACACATATTGAAAACATCTTTAATTAAGAGCTCGCGTCCTATTTATTTTAGTACATAAACTGTACGCATTACATCTTTGTTTAAGATTTAACTGCTTATGTGAAGTACACTTAATCTCGTTACGATTATTGTACTACAACTTGTTAACATATCATAATAGTATATAAACTATTAAATAATAAATAATCCATATTAGTATTACATATTAATAACTTTGAAAACACTATTTGTATTGAAAAATACCTGGCTCTCCTAGTCTTTGGTAATAAATATCTCACAACACTAATTACTATAAAGAACATTAGCTAAATATAAGACCCCTATAGCCCTGCACCTTTATTTACCGTTCAATATTCTTTATGCGTTTAATCCAACTATGTGGGTACTTAACAATATGACCTGATTATATCTATAGGGTTTTAACATGACAATATTACTTCTCGAATTCATTCGATTGCGATCGAGACTATAGATTTTTGATAAAAAGATAAATTGAGGAGATTTTTTTTATAATATAAGGTAGAAAACGAGCAAGCCGCCACCTGAATCCACCGAAATGGAAAGCGACCGCTGCTCATAAATATCCGCAATGCCGGATGCGTGGCCTACCCTTAACTGACGACGAAGAAGACATTTCTCCTTCCCATGCGTCTCCCCCAATGTCAAATCCACTTTTACTTCCCATCCTTTCCTCTTAAAAAAAATGGAAAGGGAAAGGGACTTAAACTAGGCCTCCGGCACCACACTCATCAGACGAAACGCGGAATTGCTTCCACTTCACACATGTTTTCTGTGTGGGCGTGGTATTACACCGGGCGAGCCGACCCATTCGTGTGAAGATGTTAAAGCGGGCTCTACCACTGTTAAAATTGGTTACCTTAGGATGTTTTCTTTTAACATGGACATCTATTTAAGGAATAGACGAATTTTATGCGATGATTTCTTAACTTTTTTAGAATTTTCTATAGAAAAAACTCAAATACAACTCAGCTACATTTTTAGGATATCGGAAATGTTTTTGGCGTGTTCGAAAAGTTGCTTTAGAAATTCGCTCAGTTAATATGAAACATATTTGTAGTCTGAAGTTTACATTAACGTTGTTAACTGTCAGGTCTAGTCTGTTTTTATCTTTGACAGATGACCAACGATTAAGGTACGCACGCGAAAAGGCGCTTACGGTTTTTGGCAATTGTTTTTTTCCTGGCATTATTATTTTACGCAATACAATATTTTATCTAATTTAAAGGTTTTAATAATTATTGCAGTCGATTACTGAAACGATATCAATGTCTATGTAACATCATCTTGAATTATAAAGCCACAATTAGGGTCTGTCCCGCCGAACTGTAAAGTCTGATAACAATCCAACATGTAAAATATGTGATGGAATTATCACTTGACAGTGACGTCATTTTTAAGCTTTTTTAACCTCTATCAGTTAGTGGTGGGACAGGATCTTAGACTCCAAATTGCATTACAGTTCTGACGTCTAAGCGGCGCTTACAAAGTGAAATGTTTGAAAATCAATTTAATATTCAGCCGTAATTTTTTTTAATGCAAATTTGCACATAATTATAGAAATAATGTGAGCAAAGGTATGTCTTAACGACATTAGTTTATGTCAACCTTATATGAACAAAGATTAGCGGTCAAACTCATGTAAAGGTAATTATATGTGCTGAGTTGCATGCGAGAGTGTTCACATGCCATGTAATGTGATTGGAACGAAATCGTGCCTTTAATGTTACATGGTAGTTTTCTTTTGTTTTACATAATTATAACCAACTCTTTACTATAAAGAAGTGACAAATTTACATAGAACTGTATATTATACTAATATGTTAAATGCGAAAGTTTAGATGGACGTTAATTAAAGTTTGAAGACTAAACGGGTAAACGGAGATGGATGAAATTTGCCACAGATGTAGATGATAGACTGAAAGAACACATAGGCTGCTTACTTTTTTTTTAATTCCCCGCATTCGACGCACGATTCGCACGATTCACGGCCGAAAGCTAGTTTAAATATAAAGGAAGCGAAATAAAACGGATTACCCTTAAATTTGGCACAGAGAGTTGAAATTTATTGTCTTTTACGTTACCGTATAACTACTTAAAAAAAAAGAAATGCAATTGCCTATATTTCGTTCCACAAATGTTATTTAATTTGACATGATGACATAAATGTCAAGGAATGATAGTTTAAATTACTTTAATATTGTAGGAGTCAAAATATTTACCACGTCTCGACTATCGTAACCTTTAAAGTGTAAGCATGCAATATCGATAAGTGTGCGAAAGGATAAAAGGACAATCGTTTAGGTTGTACACAAATAGACAGCTTGTTTCAAGTATTAAATTACTGAACTATATTTAATAAGCTTTATCTTTTTCCACATATAGTTATAGTTACCACTAAATAAACTCTAACCTTTCTGCTTTACTCTGAATGTCTCTTTTACGCCTTTAAATATAAAATAAACGTGAGCATGACATATATGGTCATTCAGAGCGCGCAATCCCTTGTCTAAACTATCGCTATTTAGTCGCCCTTTGATTCCTATGAGCTTAAATAGAGATGCGCACATTACTTACACATTATTTTTAGTTGTGCAACTAAACAGTTATGTTGGCTGCGAAACAATCGACAATCGCACATCAGTCGTGTGATAGTTTAGTCAAAGGTTTGCGCCCGCTCTTAATGTTAAATTCAGATGCTAACAAATCCTTGAATATCTCTACAACTTAACGTAGATATAAAAAAAGTATTCACAAAGTTAAATTTGACAAAAAAAGTCGTAGTCTACTTTTTTGAATACATAAAAAATCATAAATAAGTTTGTAGTTAAAGTTATTCATAGAAACCCTACTGATCTTTATTTATTACTAGCTTTTGCTCGCGTTGGATTAAAAAAAAACAAAAGTGAGTAGCCTATGTGTTCTTCCAGACTATCCTCTACATCTATACCAAATTTCATCGAAATCCGTTCAGTCGTTTAGGCTACAAACTCCAAGAAACATCCATCTAAACTTTCGCATTTATAATATTACTATGATGTTTATAGAAAGGTCATTGATACATTTGAGTTATTTATTATTCGTAAACAATCCGCTTAGAGGAATACGAAAGCATTATATAAATGCTCGCGCAGCCGGTATATAAATAAACACCTAAGCCTTTAACAAAGGACATCGTCTTAATCCAAGCGAATGCAAAGAAACGTAATTCTATTATATACTAATACTTAGCGTTGTAGGTATATGTGCGGTTTCCTTGTACATGGGTTGCTTCAAATATCATTTACCTTTCGCTTTCAAATCTTCCAGCAATTCTTTGAAAGCACAACTAAAAGCTTGTTAAATTATTTCAAGGTCGTAGAACTTGCTTATGTTTAATGACAATAGAAAAAGATACATAATTATACCAAAATGAATATATCGTATTGTAACTGAGTGGACATCTTTAATCAACAAATCTTGTTCTCTTAATAAAAAGAAAATAACAAACATATAATGCTTCCTATAGCCGCTCAGAACTGATGAGTGGAACTGTGCAGTTATAATTGTGCATGTGTAGACAAAACTTTATCTTTAACTGTACAAAATTGACAAGCAATAAAATATCTCGTAACCCACTATTAAAATTACTTATCTTTATTAGGATTATTGCAAAGTTAATAAACAAACCGTGATAATAGTTGTAGAATAGAGTAAACAATATTAACATACAAACAAAATGGATGTCAGCTGATTTATGTAAATATAATTAAGTGAGATATTGTATTATTTTTTTTATTCTTTCTTACTTACATTATACTGCTGTGTCGTTTAAATTGTGTCGTATACTTTGTGATAAAAATTATACAAATGTTTACAAGTTAAATAAGCACGTGATTTGTGTAGTAAAAAGAATTAGGTAAGTATACTACGATTATCAAGTAATTACGGTTGACAACAATTGTTTTTATTAAACGACTAGCTTTCGACCGCGCTGGAATTAAAAAAAAACAAAAGCAAGTAGCCTATGTGTTCTTCCAGTCTATCCTCTACATCTACGCCAAATTTAATCAAGATCTCTTCAGCCATTTAGGCTACAAACTCTAACAAACATCCATCCATCTACATTTTCGCATTTCTTTATGTTTATGTATTACTTTATTTTTACCAATTTAGCATTGCACATAGAATTACTAACTAGCTGGTGCTCGCGACTTCGCACACGAAAAATTTAGAAAAAATAGCCTATGTTATTCACTAGTAACGTAGTTTTTGAATGGTGAAAGAATTTTTGAAATCGCCCCACCACTTTTTGAGTTATTTTAATACATACAAAAATTCAAATATACAAATCTTTACTCTTTGTTATATTAGTATAGATGTACCCAGTAAATGATAGTTTGATATTTCAATGTTTAATTTATGATAACATTTCTTTCAGCCAGATCCTGTACATGAACCAGCACGCGTACAAGATTCCTGAAAACTACAATAGAAACATTCCACCTGGTGAGTTAATTTAGCAAACAATTGCAAAAATCCCGTATTATACTTGCGATTATCACAAACGAGTAAAATATCCATACAAGGCGACAAATCCCCGACCCTACGGGAGTAGGATAAGGCAGGGGAGAAGATGACAAGGTGACAAATCATAACTTAATTTTTTGTGAAAACTGATTATGCGTTTCTATGTAAATCTAATTATATCTAAACTATTTTTGGTATATCTCTGAAGTATAGGCTAATATCAAAGTGATGGAACTAATTTTAGAAGCGGCTATCTAGTTAGCCGGACGTTATTCAGCAAAACACTTCCTGCGAGCTCGGTCATTAAGCGATCGTCTCCAATCATAACCTCAAACGATATTCAAAGTATGTAATCATAACGTCTAAAAAATACTATGAAAATAAACACAATTTGTCGTGTAAAATAAAATGTTGCTACATTTATTTTTGTTAATTTTAACTAGTTATTTTCAATTCAATGTTAAATCCTTTTAAATACATCGTAATCAAATGATATTATGTTTACGTATAAAGCTAAAACCCTGTTCCCGGCGGGGATATCGCCGTGGCTTGCCATAAAACGTTTGACAGTAATACTGTTCGTACTGATTCAATAAAACCGCTCAAAATCAACTATAATTTCATTTGACGCAGTCACGATAGTCGAGCGACAATAACTCTGAGCTGGAGATATGAGATCAAATCCCGTCATTCATTTTAAACTAGTAGTTGCCCGCTACTTACTTTCCCCAGCCGTTTAGGAGATTACCCCGAACTTGACTTTGCGGAAAGAGAAACATTTAAAAAAATGTTGTTTTGTTTTTCTTCATCAGAAACTTAAGAACATCGTTTGGAAATTTTGAATTATTTTTATTTTTACATATAGACACATATTATATTAATAGAAGATGTAACTATTGTTATTGTAATGTGTTATTCTTCATGTGAATGAGGTAACCTCAAAAAGCAATTTAAACGTTATTGTGGTTTATTTTCAGGTAAAAACACAACAGTTTACATTGGAATAAACGTCAATCGGGTTTCTGGAGTTGATGAGAATAAAGAGGTATTGTAATATTTACTTTTACCTGCTATAAAATATGTTTAAAAACTTGAAAATTCGAAATAAAGCCCGAAATATACGAATCATCAGACTGTGTTAAATATTAATTAAAGAAGTTATTAATGTTTTCCAGGAAATAACACTAGATGTGTTCTTGCAAGTGTCATGGGAAGACGGACAGCTGCAAATCCCGCCGGGGATGCCGTTCATCGACCTGCCGTGGGAGTTTCGGCAGCTGATCTGGACTCCGGACCTGTATATCTGGCAGTTGCAGACGATGAGGACAATGTCCGTATTGCAAGAGATGGCTTCCCTCAGGATTTATTCGAACAGCACTGTCTCAGTAAATATAGGGTGAGTTGAATTTTAATAATTGCAAAACAGGTTTTCAATATTATATAATTGTTTTTGTTTGATAGCCTTAGATCTTAGAGGAGTCCATGTATTTAGTGACATTACTAGCTTTCGCACGCAACTCCGTCCGCTCGAAATTTAAATAACACTTGGGTTAACCTGTGTTCTTCTAGATTCCACACTTTGATAAAAATCTATGCCAAATTTCATCGAAATCCTTTGACAAATTTAAGCTGGAAACTCTAACAAACATCGAACTATCCATCTAAACTTTCACATTTATAATATTAGTAAGAACAATAATTGAAGTAAAATTTCATTTGGTTTCAGAGCCACTATAACAATCAAATGTCAAATGGATTTCGTTCTGTACCCACTTGATGTGCAGAAATGTGCTATCGATTTTGGTAGTTGTGAGTATCATGCAGTTTTATTATTATTAAAAATAGTTCCACATACTTCTGTAATTAAAATAACCTTGGTGAAAATTGTTATTGATTTCAAGTTTTTTACTGTAATTTCCTGTAACAGACAGTGATTTGCATAAAAAATATGTACGTCATGTCATCAACGGCCGAGGTTTCAGTTAATAATTGGCAACTATTAATCAGGGTAAAATATAAAAATATGCTACTAGGGTTTAAAAATAGACAATGTATTCCGCCATTATGCTAATCAAGGTTGTAACTTGTAACAAATTGTAGCTTGCTCATCATTTTAGTTTAGCGGTTAATCACTTTTAACCTTTACGAATTCCGTAATGTTTAGACTTTCTTTACTACATGATTTTTTATATCATAAGGTGGCAAACAGGCAAGCGACCACCTGAAACCGCTAAAATGGCAAAGCAACCGCTGCACATAGACACCTGCAATTGCAGATGCGTCCTTAATCGACGGAGGAGGCGACGCATATAAATAATAGGATATTTTCCTTTCCTATGCGACTCCTCTACCGTCAGATCCACTTTCCCTCCCATCCTTTCCTTTTAAGTAAAGGATGGAAAGGGAAAGGGACTAAAATTAGGCCTCCGGCACCACACTTATCAGACGAAACGCAGAATTGTATCCACTTCACGCCTGTCTTCTGTGTAGTATTTCACCGGGCGAGGCGGCCGTTTCGTGCGAAGATGTTAAAGCAGGCTCTACAAATATATCGATATAATTTTCGAAAGCCTATCAACACAACTAAGGATGTTATTTCTAGACAAATACACATCAGAGGACGTTCGTTTCGAGTGGCACGCAGGCGCCCCCTGGCGAGGGCTGGTGGGCAAACAGCGCAACCAGTTCCGTCTGCCGAAGTACGTGGTCACGTTCGTCACGGACAAAAGTAATCATATTCGAAATTTTGGTGAAGGTAAATGTAAACTTATTGCTTTGCGCTTCAGTTTGCGCCCCGTAACATGTACGTTTTTTATGCTAACGCTATGTCGCAGTTGCACGTTGCTGCAATGCTGGCGCGGATGTAGGTAGTTAATATAACAAAAAACACATTTATCTCTTAAAGTATAATAACTTGAGAATATCAGAGTTAGTGTGTCTCTACAACGCTGTTGCCACATTCAAATTAATTATTTCTACTATTGTTTTTAGTTATTTTACCTATCGTATATCCGCAAGTAGCACCAAATGTCCTTTATGTGTAGTTTTATTTGTAAAATGTTTTTGTAGCAAATGTTGTTTGTTAGTTGCACCGTTACAATATTACCTTTCCCTATTCTATTCCTGATATTAGAAATGCAAAACTAAATGTGAATTCACCAAATACCCACGCCCGTTATGTCCTGAATAATTTAGAATTTATTGATTTAAGAATTACTATGTACCTTATAAGTAATTAGTGAATTTTTATGTTTGGCAAATACATTTGTCTCGTCTTAAGTTATGATATATTTTGCAGGAGAACATTCAGCAGCTCGGCTGCAGATCAAGTTGTCTCGCGAATTGCGCAGCTACCTGCTGGAGAGCTACCTGCCCTCGTCTCTCTTCGTCATCATCTCGTGGGGCAGCTTCTGCGTCATCCCAGAGATCGTGCCTGGCCGCATGGTGCTGCTAGTCACCACACTACTCTCACTCGTCACGATGTTTGACACCGTCAGGTTAATATTATGTAATAACTAATATATATTCCAATTAGTTTTCACTGAGAGAAACTATTTCGATCATTATGCTTTTAGTCGTATTTTGATGGTAAAATCGAAATACAATATTACTTTAACCTATCTTTTTGCGCATATTTCCTGACAAATTTACTGATATCAAATTCTTGAATTACTTATTAGTTGCATCTTATTTAGTTTAAGAATCAAGTTCTATAAATTTACAATAAAATACAATTACTGTTTTCAGTACAAACTC